TAGGGCCAATTTGGCTTTCCTCCATACCTAAAATGGCTCCGTCGGTGCAGATCCAGCTCTCCAATGCCAAAATGGCTTTCACATAGGGCCAAAACAGCTTTGGCCCCAAAAGGGCTGAAACGGAATTTGGGGTCGATTTGGCTCTTTTTAATTTACAGTGTAGAAGTCTTGTAAAACAACCTATTTCTCATACTAGAAATGGGCAACTACAAAATCAGGCTGAAAGACAGTATAAACCAAATAAAGCAAATGAACAACTGCAAAACAATTATTTTCGGAAACGCTTTCGGAATAGACCTCCTCAAGCGCAGAATCGCCCGAGCAAATCGTGCCCGGGCCACCATATCAATGGAATACAAAGAAAGGCGTCAGAATGGATCAACCATCTGAATTTTGTGCGCCGGGTAATGGTTTAATGAATGGCTCGCTGTGTGAACGTAACAGTATTCCAGCTAGAATTACGTCACGATACAGCCTATCTGGATGTCTAAGTTATGGTAATATACGTAAGCGAACTAGCAATCCATGCAACTTGGTAAATGTCCCTGTAACTACTAGTAACCTAAAAAATCACCGAAACAACTGCGCTGTTCCATCTTTCTTTGTTACCAATGCCTGCCACATAGCAAACAAGGTGGACGAACTGTCTGCAGTGGTTGCGATAAACAATTCCTCTGTAATTTTGGTTACAGATTCCTGGTTATCGTCTGATATTCCGGATTCTATTATTAACATTGGAAATACTTACAATTCATATCGACTCGACAGACATACGCCAGGTGGTGGTATCTTGGCATAAATTAAATCTGACCTACCTGCTAAACGCCTTCTTGAACTAGAAGAGGAAGGAAAAGAAGCGCTCTGGCCATTATTAAAACCACCCAGAACACCGAGACCCTACAGTTCCGTCATTGTAGTAGGCGTATACTATCCTCCAGGTCCAAGTAAGGAGAATGAACATGAGATGCTGGACTACCTAACTCAAAAGATGGACATTGCTTTAGCTGAGCGCCCTTCTGCCGGCATATTTGTAACTGGGGACTTCAACAAGTTGGACTTGAATCCTTTGTATCGCCGTTTTAATCTACGCAAACATGTCAAGACGCCCACGAGAAGAAAAAAACATTTTGGACCAGATACTTACCAATATGTCGGATCTGTATGACGAAGTTCTTCACATTCCCCCTATCGGACGTTCCGACCACCAATGTTTGATCTTACCACCCAAAACAAGACAGAAGATGCCCCCCGTTTCAAAGAAATATCGTCAAATGAAACCAGAGAACTTAAACGCTCTGGGATTGAAAATGAATCTTGAAGACTGGGAGAAAGTAAATTCCGAATGGGATGTGGATGACAAGGTCTCAGTCTTTAACTCTATCGTCATCTGTATGCTTGATGAAACCATACCCGTGAGAACAGTTCACGCACACTACTGTACGGACAAACCGTGGATAACCCTCAATATCAAAGCGTTGATAAAGGCAAGATCTTTGACTTGATCGAACATAAGATCCTTCTGGACAAGCTTGCTGATATGAATGTAACAAGGAGTTTCTGGTTATGGATAATGAGTTTTCTGGAGGAAAGAACACAACAGGTAAATCTCCAAGGTGCACTATCCTTTACTGTCTGTATCATGCCCAACCGGCGTCCCTCAGGGATCTGCTATCTCGCCGACCTTATTGAACATATATATTAACGATATGGAGGAAAATGTTTCTGAACAGGCATTTGTCAACACAACCAAATAAGCGGACGATCACACCATGGATACGTCCATAAGAACAGGAGAATCTAGCGATTTGCAAAGCGCTCTGGACTCAGTGCAAAGTTGGGCTGTGGAAAATAAGATGGAACTGAATGCCAAAAAGACAAAAGATATGTGGGTTAACTTCACCAAAGCACCGCCCCTTTACCACTGCATATAGGAAATGCCATCATAGAAAGAGTTGATAATTTCAAACTCTTGGGAACCTGGTTTCAAAAGGATCTGAAATGGAACAAACATGTCGAGGAGACCACTCGCAAAGCAGCTAACAACCTGTACTGCCTAAGAGAATGTAGAAGAGCGAACCTACCAGTCGAAGTGGGTCTCACCACTTATTTAACTAAAATCAGGCCTACCTTGAATATTGTTCTCCAGTGTGGGGTGGTCTACCACGATATCTAAACGACGAAATGGAACGTGTGCAAAGGAGGAGTCTACGAATTATTGGCCTCACGCATGGTTACCTGCCAACTCTCGAAGAGAGAAGAATTGAAGCCACATCGAGAGAACTCGATACTATCTTAGGTGATCCAAGTCATATCTTTTATCAACGAACTATGGAACATAATAAACATAACTATAATCTTAGGCGTAGAGATGGTATATTTAGATACGCACCTTTTTCAGGCACTGAACGACACAGAAATAGTTTTATTCCACGAGGAATGAGACAGGGGTTGCATTAAAACTTAATTAACTTGTTTTTTATTAACTTTTTACTAATTTTCTACACTTTTAAATTTTTACTCCAAATTGTATATATAGAAATTTCCAATAGTTTGTAAATATTATCGCATGCCTAGTTATGCTCTTCTCTTTTAATAGACATTGTTGTAAATCCATTGTATTTTTAAACTAAAGATGGATCAATAAAATCATCATCATATCAAGATATTGGATTTTGTTTGGCATGTAAATATGACTTAAATGACGTCAACGCTGCATAATGTATTTACAGAAGACTGTTATTAGCTTGATATATAAAATTGTCATTAACTCAAATTTACAGACGAAATAATAGCTTTGATAGTTCTTAAAGTATATAATTTTCAATGTCAGTGGAATTATCACATGTTTGACAAGGAAACGTTTTCTTTCTAAAAACTGAGATTATGCAGTGTGATGTCATTTAAGTCACTTTTGCATATCAAACGAAGTCAAAAATCTTGACATACAGGAAAGATAAAAAAGTTTTAGAAAATAAGTTACATTATGATTTTAAATGAACTTTGCAATTCAATCATAAAAAATTCTCGCATAGGCACTATAGATTCAAGTCAATTAAAGTGATATACCAGTCAGTAGTATCCAGTAGTACAATGAGCTGCAGATTACCGATGTTCGACCAACATGCTACAGCTTTGCGTGCGTTTGATGCTAGCAACCATGATATAATTTAATTATCCGCTGTCAAAGACCCAGTAATGTTAAACCTGACACCTTTTGACTTTAACGGTGGCAACTCGCTCTACAAAATTTGTTTTGACAAATAAGAATGGTTTGAAAACGAGAAATAGTCAACATTCATACTAATATCGCCATACGAAACTATACCTTGCGCTATCAAAAACACCTCAGAAGCACGCAATGCCAACAGGGTGGACATTCGTCTACGCATGAGCGAGAAACGTAAGCGTGGTGTGCACGTGAGTGCGCGTGTGGGTTAATCGCGTGACTGAATTCCAAAAACAAACACCAAATTTGCCAAAACTACTCGTGTTATGAAGTCGTTTTCTTGTTTCTTTAAGAACGTGAAAGTAGAAATAAAAACTTTGATGCAGCTGTTTAATTTCGCCGTACAAATATACCTGTTTTATATGTATATCTTTTTCGAAGTGAGATTATACAAGTGCAACTTGACCTTCTTTAAATTCGTACTTGCCCTATTTTTAACTCTATAAAAACTACTTTAATCCATGGAGAAACTATTTGACTTTAAAAATAAGCTTGAATTATGGTGGTGATATAGGCTAATTTTTTTGCAAATAGTGATTCAGTACTCGGTAGAGTACTTGTTGTATATGAACAAAAGTCTAAAATGAATTCAACATCCATCAACAAAAAGGAGTCGCGCTTATTACTACTATTTAGAAGATAGGCAATTAATTTAATTCACTAGGAACCCGTTCTACAATATAAACTAGAAATCGGCCAACAAATTGTCACAAAATACTACAATGAAAATAGCTATAGGATCTCTGAACTACCGATTTCACCGAACGGTCAAGTTTCTCTGCAAAAATCGCCCCTTTGTCCAATTTTCATCGAGTAGATCATCGTGTTATTAAGTCAAGGATTATGTATACTTTAACATAAAAGAGTAAAATAACTGGTGATATAAAAGGGTAGATTTTGAATAAAATACAAATATCTGTATACAACATCTGAGCGTTATTATGAAGCACTCGATATTTTCTCCAACAACATATTGCGCTTATTTTTTTACAAAACTAAAAATATTCACACATTAAAGATATGAAAATGTAGCTTGCATTACAAA